GCTTTTATCAGATGCATGTTGATTGCCGCACGTCGCCCAACGACCACCGCAGCCGCCACCACCCGGCAGCCCAACCCAACGCGACTCCCTTGTGCTGCTGCAAAACCAAGAGCAAAAAACAGGAGCGGGCATATTTTTGGCCGTATCCTTGCGTCTGGCCGATAAGCCGACGCGGCGGTACTTGAAATGCTGAACTCCACTACGAGCCTCGCGTGCGCACGCTGCGCTGTTTTACACAAATGTTTAGGTCGCGGAATTATTTTGGCAACAGCGTGCCTGATCACTGGCTTGGGGGGGTTGCGGTGGGCGAGGTGGTGGGGTCCGTGTGGGATTTGGCGATGCGACTGCGCGTGTTCTTACAGCGCCTCCTCGAATGTGATTCGAGCCGCACCGAGAATTTGAAAGGTGTCCCCTCCCGGAGAAAAGGGAAGATCCGCCAACTGCTCAGCAGATGTTGCGAGCAATTTCTCCCCCACCCCATATCCACCACACCCCCTCCCCACCCATCCCCCGCTCCATCAAAAGCTAAAGCTGGCGCAGGACTGTGCAAGGCATGCGTGTAATAATTATTAGCACCTTGGTTAGTGTTACGTGATTAATTCCATAATCGGCGCAGCCCAGCGCGTCGGTAGCAGCAGCCCCTGTGAAGTGTGATGCGAGCGGAGGGAGGCTCTGCGAGTGCACGCCGAGCGTTTTTTCACGAACGTGAAGCCTGCCGGTATATTTGTACAACGTTTATTATCGGTATGGGTGGTAGTAAATATTAATATTCGGCTAATTTGATGGCCCAATTGGTTAATGACAAATGTCACTCGGCGTCTTAAAACGCGCGCGTGGTGACGCTGGGACCAATCACCCCCGCTCACCCCCCCCCGTCCCACCGTGTTAGCGAGTAGGATTATAGCTCTCCAAATGTCCGACGTTTTGACCCACGTGTTGAAGGCTTTTCAGGAACTTAAACGAGTCGTGTTGTTGATGAACTAGTCGATGTGTGTGTTGCATTTGGTGGGGTAAAGCGTGATTACTCCCCCCTCCTCCAAGACGTTTGGCCAGCATGGAAGAGCAGGACAAGTACACTTTAGAGGGAGCATTAGAGGTCGATTCGCCTATAGGGTGGCGTGGCAGAGAGTGGTCAGTGTAGCCTGAGTTGCAGCGCAGCCCAGGGCTTAATTTAAGACTTCCATTGAGACCCATAAACTTACATTGAGACCCATAGACTTACATAGATACACAATTACTCAAATTGATTGAGATCCATAGACTTATATAGAGACCCATAACCCTACATTGAGACCCATAGACTTAACATAGACACTCATAGATTTACACAGGGATCCATTTCAGTCACGTTTATCGGGCCACCGACCCGTATAGGTTCTCCTTAGTCACGTGCCACATACTCCAGTCTTACCAGCGACGAGAAAAATGTCTCCGAACTCGGCACACCTAATCCACTGTAGTCACGCATGGCCACCTCGATTATTGCCAGCAAGCCAGAACATCTTCAGCGAAAAAGTAAGCTCTGGGCAAAACGGTCACAAGAGGTGAACAGGAGTGGCACGTGGAGGCTGTGTGTAGGGGCTGTGGAGGTTGTGCGTTGAAGGCTGTGTGGGGAGGATGCGTGGAGTTTGTGTGTGGAGGCTATGTGGAGGCTGTGTGGAGGCTGAGGCTGTGTGTGGAGGCTGTGTGGAAGCTGAGGCTGTGTGGGGAGGCTGTGTGGAGGTTGTGCGTGGAGGCTGTACGTGGAGGCTGTTTGTGAAGGCTATGTGTGGAGGCTGTGTGGAGGCTGAGGCTGTGTGGAGGTTGTGGAGGTTTGTGCGTGGAGGCTGTGCGTGGAGGCTGTGTGTGGAGGCTGTTTGTGAAGGCTATGTGTGGAGGCTGTGTGGAGGCTGAGGCTGTGTGGAGGTTGTGGAGGTTTGTGCGTGGAGGCTGTGTTTCAGTGGCACACTTCGCTATCTCAGCGCACATCACTTAGCGGATAATAACAAGAGAGTGCGCAGTGTCCCTAGGGGATTGCGTATGATTTTTTGAGCGTTATCTCCTTGTACGTGTGGGTTTTCTCCAGTGGCTATGGTTTTCTTTCTATAAAAAGTGCGTGTATATATAATACACAAAGCTAAAGATCCCCCGCGGAGCCGTCAATAGACTTTTGGGGAAAGTGGCATTAGCTTGTAGCACCGATGAAGGCCGGCCCGGAACACGAGGGAATGAGTGGCCAGCACCATGCCCGGCCTCCTTGGTCTCCTGAGTGGCGATGTTTACACAATGCACCAGGTATTCATTTCAGGCCGAGTCGACTTAGAGGAGGCCCGGGATCTAGTATAGATATTTGTCACCGATGTTGCTCCATGGGTGCGAATTTAACTTGGGATGCCGGGTTCGCAGGGCAATGTGCTAACCATTGCGCCTCTCCTCCCACATATATATATATACACGTGGGGAGCGGTAGTGTAGTGGTCTCGGGAGCTGTGCTACGAACCCGGCCACCCGAATTCCACTTCCGCTCACGGCCAACACCAGTGACGATTCTCTGAACCAGTCCTGGGCCTCCACTAGGTCGACTAAGCGACAAACGAGTAGCTGGTGCAGTGTGTACACGTCAGCGCTAAGGAGACAGGGCGTGGTTTGTGGAGGTCGGCCGAGCTGTCGGCTTCCAGAGGAGGGTGTTTCGTGGCCTGCTTCGTCACACCGGCCAGACGCCTCGGGAGAGGTGGCAGTACCCACACTCTACCCCACTACGCTCGACCTGCCGATTGATCGACTTCAACCGCTGTTGTATATCTAAATGTTGGTGCTGCTGCTGCTTGGTACAGGTCCCAGGGGAACCGTTGTTTCAACCGCCGCGTCAGCAGAGTGCATCTAACCGCCGGCGACCTTTGGATCGCAAACCTACTGATTCGCTCACCTTCGCCACACCATTGTGGCTGCGCCGGGCTCTTGTAAACCATCAAATCGCGAGGATTATCATCATCATAAACTTTACATTTTGTCTTGATCATGCAATATTCACCCATGCGTTTTCCATCTGCATCACCTTTCTGGGCGTCCTTCCCCCCCCTCGCTCTCTCCTTCCCTCCCCCCCAACACTCTCCCCCCACACCCCTCCCCCTGCCCCCCACCCCCATCTACCCCCCCAAAACCCACCCCCTCCCATTTCCCGGTTAACAGATGGGCTGGGAATAGACCTTCTCTCTGTTTGTAAGGAACAGATGGCCAGGGACTGGCTCAGAGTGCAGGATTTTTTTTCTGTGTTTTTTTTTTCCTTTTTCCCCTCTCTCCGTGAGATGTGAACGCAGCAGCAGTGAGCCGCTTTAAAAGATACGGCTTCGTCCACTGATCTCTGCTGGAATTACACGAAATAAAGTCGCTCGAAGAGAGAACGAGAGACAGAGAGAGAGCTTTCAAATCCACGCGTACAGAACGCGAAACAACGTAAGACAATAATTATGCTGCTCGTGTGGCGTATGCCCATCGAGGGGCATTGGTGCTCATCTGCTCATGGCTCTGCTGAGCGAGTGCTGTAAATTCGACGTTCCTATGGCGGGGAGGGGGGGCGGTGAAATTATATGCCTCTGTTGGCTTCCCCCGCAAAGTGGTTGTTGTTGTAGCCTGCCCCCCGGTGGGGAGTTGAACTCGCAACCTTCCTCTTGTGAGCTCCTCTCGCTGAGCCACCTGGCTGGATAGTGTGAGCCACTCTAGGATGTACGCATGACAAAAACAAATAAACTCGGCACATTTCGTAAAATAACACTGTGGCCTTTAAAGGAAGAGTGCGTAAGAGGCGACGTATCGGTGGGGGGGGGGGGGGGGGGGGTGGGTGGGGGGTGGGGTGGCCAAAAGCACGTCGAATAATCCGTTTTATTCACGCGGACATAAAATAATGAGAGCATGTGGTCATTCCAGCCGTACTTAAGCCACCAAACGGTGTAGGTCTCCCTACACCGTGTCACTTACTTCGCTATTTTATTTTCCGATACTTCACGCCGGTCGGTGGGTCGGGATTGGGGGTTGAAGGGGATGGGGGGAGGGGGGGTTGAAGGGGATGGGGGGGGGGGGAGATTGCCCGGTTCTGACATCACTCGCTTACTGATAGCTGCCATCACCGGGAATCAAACTCGGGTGGCCGGGATGGCGGCGAAGCACCCACCGTGCCGCGCTCGCGAGAGCCCCTTGCTTTAAACGGCGCCGTCGCGATTCAGCCGCTCGTTGCCACAACAACAGCAAAAAAAAAGCCGCATTTCATTTGCAATAGCTGTCTTATCGTCAACTCCCAAGGATTGATGTCTCGCTCAAGGTGGTGCACTGCTCGCCTGTTACCGTGAGGGTTCTCAATTGAAATGTGCTGCCGCTCGACATGACAATGGCACAATGACAATCTAACGTTTTGTATGGTATATATATTTACACAGTATAGCTTGACAATGCATCTGTGTTGGCAGTGGCACACTAGCACAATTAACAGGAACAAAAACATTTGTCGACAACACTGGCCGGCTCTTAGAAGCGGGCTACACATAGATGGGCTCTCTGTGGAGCTCCCCGTGTTTTCATATCTATATAATAATCATGTTGAATTTTACATATAGCGTCATCGTTCGTGCAAATTGCATCTCTCAGTCGCCGAGGAACCACACCCAAGCCCGAAGGCAGCATCCAGGCAGTGAGCCGGCGCTACCAGCATTCACCCAAGCTCTGCAATCCTCCGCATAGCAAGAAGTTTTCAGCCAATCAATGAGTGTTTGCGTGCGGGATGAAACCTGGGGTGTTCTGGCAGAGGCCGCTCCAGCAGCAGCGGCGTGAACGAGCTCCTTTTACCTTCACTCCCTTGTGGACAGTCGGGGCTGTGGGATTTAGGAAACTCACCGCCCCCCCCCCCCCCATTGTTTCGAATGCCGTGCCGGGGGATGGAATTGAACCGGCGAACCCACGTTTTGGATCGCAAGTCATTAATCACGATCGTCTTTGTTTCGTTGTCTTTGTTTCTTTTGTTGTTTTTGCAGATTCGAGGATGTACTTCAAAAACCCGGGACTCTACTGAACCGGGCGTCAAGGTGGCAACGAATTGGGTTGAGGGGGTTGTGGGGAGAGGGGGGTTGGGGGGGGAGGGCAGGGTTGGGGCGGGGGGTGGATGGCGTTTGGACTAAAACGAGCGGACGAACGGAGGAGTTGTCAAGGGTCACGCGGCCAAGTGGTCAGTGGTGATCACAGCCCAGGGGGCCGTGTGGGGGTGAGGTGGGGCGGGGGTGGGGGGGAAAGGGCATGTCCGGGGGTCGAGCCCCCCGTGAACCCAGGGGGTCCCGAAGCTGCCCCGATTCTTCCCGAGCGATTTCCTGTTTGTGCCCCGGCGTGCGGGGGGATCCGTGCTTCATGCCCGTTGCTGCGGCTGCCCCCGCGTGCGTTTGCGTTGCCGAGCGGCCACCGGACGTCCGACGGTTCACTCCACGTGCCGGGAGCTTCCTCCTTCTCGTCCTCCTCGTGCTGCTCTTCTTCTTCTTCTGCAGCTGAATTCTCCAGGAACCCGAAAACACATCGGGAGCTGCTCGAGAGTGGCTCGTTAAATAAAGAGGGAGGGGGGGGGGTGCTGGCTGAGAATTTGTTGACACCGAAGGCCGTTGTCTGCGGAAGTGAGAATCTGCATGTCCCTTCTTCTTTACTTGTGGTTGCTGAACATGAACGTGTGTTTGGGGCATGGGGGGGGGGCCCTAGGATGCTGCAGCAGCTGGCGGTTTTTTTGAGGGGGGGCGTGGGGAGGTCAGGGTTATGATCCATCCCTCCCCCCCCCCACTTGGATATTGATTGTGGTTGTAAAATGTAAAATATAAAACGGAGTGTGCCCCTTCCCTACCCGTCCCCCCCCCCCGCCCACCCCCCCCTTCTCCCACCACCCCCCCCCCCCCTTCTCCCACCACCCCAACAACACGTCCGTACACATTCCCTCCTATTCCTTACCCACCCACCCTACCCCCCTTCCTCCCCCCCCCCCAAAAAAAAGATAGCGTAATGCAAGGGCACTTTGCGATGGTGCAAACACAAAATTCAATAGAGAGAGAGAGAGAGCACTGCCCTACAGCCAGCCATGCTCGGGAATATAACACAACACAAACAAAACAACGAGATGCACCTTTTTACAAACTTAGTTTTTTCGTGTAATTTATGATTTTATATACTTGTCTTCAAACAGTGCACAAAACCTCTCTCCCGTGAGTGTCGCCTGTGTCGGGGTTCACCGGCGGTGGCGGTGCCGGTGGCGGTGGTGTGTTTTTCGGGAAGCTCCCTCGTTAAGGGGGGAACCCTCCTGGTGTATTCTATAGATCTCGCATTCCCTTCCCGTGGGCGGCGGTGGCGCGGGTGGGGGGAGGTTGGCGCTCTTGGAGGCTGCGCTGGAGGTGGCGCACCGCTAACCCACACGCACGCACACACGCACGGACGGGACGCGACGGCACTTGACTATGTAATTACGAAACGGGAGATCAGGACGCAGTTGCTCATGCCAACGGTTAATTGTCGCCAGAGTTAGCTCTTATAAGATCCATTGTACAGTCACGAATCTGCAGTCATTTTTAACGCGAGCGCAAAAAAAAAAACGATTGAGAAGAACGCGCGCGCGCGCGCACACACACACACACGTGAACAATACTTGCTGTAAAATATTAACACTTGTCTTACGTCGTGCCACGTGAAACGACCGGGGTTTCCTGTAACACTTTCATAAATGATGGCACCCATCCTGTAACTTCCAACTTTTATGTGACCGTTGTTTTTTTTTTTTGTAAAAATCAAAAGCTGAAAGAAAAAAAAACGTAAGAAAAATATTAAACTTGACGTCCGGATTTTTTTGTGTTCTCTCCAATCGTCATGCACACACTCGCGTAACGCGCACACCCACGTAACGCGCACACCCGCGTAACGCGCACATGCGTCGCGAGACGTATTCGTCTCGCGACGATGCGACGCTTATTTAGTGCGATTGGGATAACCGTTTTGGGGAAAAAAACTCATCAAACTAAATGAGTTGAAACGACAATTGAGGGAAGATGAACCGGAGACTCGGGTTGAGATATCGCATCGTGGTATTTTGTTGGACGAACCGGTGACGCAATGGGAAATGAAACTGAGGCAGCTGTAATAAAGCCCTCTCGGTTTAAACCCAGACTGTCATGGGATTTCAACTTGGATCACAAAGGAGTTTAAACTCGGGACTAATGGGGAATTGACCTCAAACCATCATGCGATTTGAACCCACATTATTGAGGGATTTGAAGGCCAGGCTAATGGGATTTAAGCGCCAATTACCGCGGGATTTAAACGGAGGTTTTAATGGGATTTTAACTCGAAACCACTGGGATTTGACCGCAGCAGTACTGCGGTATTTAAAACCGGACTCCCATGGGCTATGACCTCATACAGTCATGCGATTCAAACTGACACTATAATGGTGTTTGAACTCAGACTTGCATTGCGCGTCGATTCCGTAGTCATGGCTAAGCCATCAGTGGGGCCGTTGTTTCGAATGCCCCTCCAGGTATTGTGATCCTGCACCCCTCACCATGCCTCCTGCATTGGCTCCACGTCTGCACTGAGCGCGATGAACAATGAATCCCCATAATCGGGAATGTCAAAAACCCACACTGAGGATCACACCCAACCTGAATCCGAACAAATCAAGGTTACATTTTTCTCACTATTTCCGGGGTTCCCTCGTAGACTGGAGTAGGTGGTGCGTGGCTTTAGTGGCAATCACGGGCAAGGGTGAGGTATACTGGATGTGGTGTGCCAGGCGCCACTCCCTTGGTCAATCCACTGCTGGACAAAGGCATCTCGAAGCAGTTGCCATCTTACGATCCTGCGACGCATCGATCAACCTAGCACCCACACACGAGCTTATTGGGTTCCTCCGGTATGAATAAATATCCTGATTGTGATTGAATTGCTCCGTCTCCTAGATGCGCGTCCTCCTGGCCACGTTTCCCTCCTTAAGGCTGCCACTCCCATCAATTATCGACCATCGTCCCTTCTCGCCGTGACGCATCCCTGCCCAAGCCCGCTTTTTTTCGCTGGTCGGAGGATGTCATTGGCAATGCGTGCGTTCTCTTATCCAAGTGCTCGTCTTGCCCTCTGCCAACGTCATTGCGGATGGTCGTGCTGCATCGAGGCAAGGTTCACCAGCGCTGCCGTGAGTGATCGGCCACGATTCTGGAACGTGTGTGGCCGTTACTCCGGCCTCCAGCGAGGAGGCAACAGGCCTAAAAGACTGCGCGGGGCCTGTAAGCATGTTATAAAGGGGCCCTAAATAAAAAAAAATATATGAAAGCACATTTTTTTAAGCGCAGAAACACTGAACCGGAATTGATAGCTTGAAAGCAGGGGTCCGTAGCATATGTAGCTACTTTTGCTCCTGGGATAATCCGGCACTGCATAGTACCCTGTTTTAAAAAGCTTAAACGTTACGTTACAACCGTGCACACGTCCCATGGATGTTTCTAGACTCGCCTCTAGTTGTAAGTATGTTAAATTTCTTTCCTACCGTACGTAGCCAACTGTGCTAATCGGAGTCTGTCCAGTGACCCCTTGTCCAGCAAAGCCCTACCGTTCGACACTTCACGTCACAGCCTCAGAATAAGTGTACCCAGCAACCGCTGTGTCGAAGTCACCGTCACTCAGGTGGCAAATGGGCGGTTGCTGTTGCTGTTACACGTCACGAATCCGTCCTCAAAATCATCACCATCGCTGCGTAACCAATAATAAATCGGCTGGTTTGTGTTAACGCTTAATGCGAACTGTTTTTGGTTTTCTTTCTCTTCCCGGTCCTGAGATATTAATTTGTGCCCCCCCCACCGTGAAGAATGAAAAGACGACCAGCTGGCTAAAACATTGCCTCCTTCACTCTCAGTGGTGGAGGGGGGGGGGGGGTAAACCAAAACAAATACCCCAAACAAAACAAATCTGCTATTGCCGTTTAATCAGCTCACGTAAATAGAGGCGAGCGCGCGCGCGTGTGTGGAGTGCGGCACGCGCAACTTGTTTGATTTACGCTCTTAAGCAAATGTATCGAGGGTTAAGGCGACAACTAAATGCACCGATTGACGCGCAAGTTGCCTACCCCGACGGCTCTACTTAACGGAGATTTATAAAGCCCAAAAATCCTTAACGCCGCGTAAATTTGTGCCAGGCGGGGAGGGTGGCGAGTACATTCATAAATAAGCAGGACGTTTAGCGAGATACGCTGGGGATCTGCTGCTGCCCGTTTGGTGTCGTGGGCGAGCGCAACTTGGGCTCGATTCGATCTCCGGGCGGAGCAGTTGAAGGAACGGGACAAGTTTCTTGAATCTCGGCCGTTACCGTGGCTCACGCCCCTCCCATGTCTTCCTCCCGGCAGCGTTATAAGTGAGTAACCACCGGAGTTGACATCGATGGACGAGAATTCGCGTGCGGTCGGTTGGGGTAGAATATGGGTACACTCGCCGAGGACAAAGATGCCTGTCCGCCGTTGGAAGATTAGGCCAATATATCATCTGCTGGCAGGGTTGCCTACGTGCGTTGGAAAAGAAGTTCAACATTTATCTGCCAGCAGTGGCGTGAACGACATCGGTTATGCGCGCGATCAGCAGCACTGAGATCCATCTCCGAGCCGCCCTGCGACACGAATGTAACACTCACGTGTGTGTGTGTGGTCGGGAGCGGTGACACAGTGGTTAGCGCACTGCCCTGATGAACACGGAGGCCCGAGGTTGAATCCCCCGCCCACAGACAACATCCGTGATCAATATCTGAACCGTTTCTGGGCCTCGCCTAGGACGCCTCAGCCTTAAATGAGTACCTGTTGCGGCGTGTAAACATTGGCACTTGGTCAGGTCATCCCATCTTGGAGCCCACATGCCCACCCACCGCATGGCCAAGCAGCTTCTCTGTTTGACCAGGTAGAGGGGGGCTAAACGGGCGCGGCACGGGCTACAGAAGAGATGGAGCTGATGCGGTACGGGAGGATGTGGAGTTTAGTGGACTTGACGTTGACCGGTACCAGCGGTGTCAAGATCGATCTCTGTAGAGGAGGCTCGTCAAGGACGCCACTGGGCAGTTGGAGGCAATCGTCCTCCATCAACAACGGAGGGCGGAGGAGCGACGCTCACAACAACGAGCGGAGCGCCGAGCGGCTAAAACAAAGCGAGGTGGAACAGTGGTGGCGGGGGGGGGGGGCACAAGTGGGGCATCTGCCAGTCATCTCAGCTGGTCAACTCAAAATACCTGGGTCCGTCCGGTGACAGCCTGCCGGAAACGAGCCTTCAACGTTAGACGTGATGGCCTCAAAGTACACGTAGCCTGGCACAAAGCGCTGTGGTGACTTCGATGCCGCTCGATGGCGCATGGCGGGTGTGGTGTCTGGCAAAACCGCGCACTGTATCATAATTCACAGGATTCACAGCATCAGTCGAGGTGGCGAGGTTTCACGCAAGCGAGGGGAGCCGGTCCATTTGCCCACCTATCTGCCGACTACTTTCATACCTACCCAACTCTTTGCGTATCTACCTACGCACTGGCCTGCTTCCATATCTACCTAAATAGCCAACTACCTTACCTCTCCACTTACCTACCTACGCACTGGCTCGCTTTCACACCTATCTTGTACGTAGCCACCTATGTCTCTACCTTACTGACCTACCTACTACCTACCCACTCACCCGAATGATACCCCCCCCCCCACACACACCTGCCCACCCGTGCCCACGCACATCACCACCACCGGAGTCGCTCACGAAGCGCTGCGGTGCGGCGTTTGGTGTCTGCCAATCTCCCTCGGAAGCGCGCGTCAATTAAACGCTGACGCATGCAGCTGCCGTCATGGATGGA